GAAAGAAATTCCCAATATTGATCCATATTTTTTTAATACAATCTAAGCCATTATCAAAGATGTCAATTACAACATATTAAGCAATATACGGACAGGACAGTGATGATGCTGCATAAATACGCCCAATATATATATATATATATATATATATATATATATATATGTGTGTGTGTGTGTGTGTGTGGGCATAATGATGTCACCACCAAGCGTCGATTGCCTGTTGTTTCATGCTTGAAAGTAAGTCTCAGACCCGCTCTCTCTCTGTCTCTTTATAAATATAAACTCTCTCTCTCACAAACACACCCACATACGCGCGCACACACACACACACACACACACACACACACACACACACACATATATATATATATATATATATATATATATAGATAGATAGATAGATAGATATGCTGTAACAAAATTAATATATATATATATATATATGTATGTATGTATATACATATATATATATTTCAATAAACGTGCAATCAATTTACAAATACATGAATTATTCACACAAAACTAATGCAAAGGTTAATGATTTTAAATGGCGAGACATCCATCTCGCAAACAATTCAAATATTACAAAAAACCTCAGATCCGTTATGAATGAATTGATCCTTGTTCATATAAATTTCTGCCGTATTAGTTGTTATTTTTACACAAGCTTTCGTCTGTTCCTACAGACATCTTCAGGTATATAATAGATGTTGTTCTTGTTTTTTCTCTTAGTAATAAGAGGACATCGAGAATATATGTGTATTGTATCCGAAATGCTATTGAAAAAATGAGATATTGGTTTTGAACGCGCCAAAGTAACGGTAAGTTTGATTTTGAATTTTTTCTTTTTTAAAATGTTTGCGTTTATACCAAATATGGTAATGAACAAATTATTTTACTGGTAAATTTTACTGTCAAAGTGGCATGAACTATATTGTTCAATAATTACAGTAATGTCGCACTTATTAACCAAAAAGTCGCACATGGATCAGATATTTAAATTACAATAAACGTGCAATCAATTTACAAATACATGAATTATTCACAAAACTAATGCAAAGGTTAATGATTTTAAATGGCGTTACATCCATGTTTTTAAACAATTCAAAAATAACAACTAATACGGCAGAAATTTATATGAACAAGGATCCTTGTTCATTAAATAACTGCCTGAGGTTTTTTGTAATATTTGAATTGTTTTGAGATGGATGTCTCACCATTTAAAATCATTAACCTTTTGCATTAGTTTTGTGTGAATAATTCATGTATATATATATATATATATATATATTTAGATATGGTGTAACGAAATCAATATATAGATAGATAGATAGACATGCTGTAAAATTAATATATATATATAGATATATATACGTACATACATATATATATATATATATATATATATATATATATATATATATATATATATATATAGAGAGAGAGAGAGAGAGAGATAGATAGATATGTTGTAACGAAATTAATATACCTTTTAATTCCAGGGTAAATGATATTTGAAGACGGAAGTATGCGAAGCGTTAGACACGCTGCAGTTACGTTCAGACAATGTTATTGATATAAGAATCTTACTGATTACTTGAAAGATATCGATAAGCTTGTGCTGATACGCTTATTTTGAAACATACCTTGATTACGTCATGAAAATACAATCCAATCACTGTTAAGAAACTATCTATTTCAAGTCTGTTCAGACGAGTGTGGCCAGAAAGGTTCATGAACTGACGAATTTCTAAATGTAAGTAGACACCAGTTGATACACTAGAAGACAAGAAAGTGTGCAGAATACAAAAGAAGATATCCTATACGCCGGAGAATGCTGACACTCTTGACACACATAGAGAAAAGCATTGAGCGATAGACTGGACATATAAGCAAAGACGAAGTTTAAAGAAAATTGAATAAATAAACGACACTTATATATAGCATAAGAAAGAGACAGTTGTTATTTCTGATGTAATGGGATAACCTGTTACCTCACTGAGTGACTACACTATAGATAGTAGCTACCTATAAGTATCTGTAAGTCAACGGACTACAGAGCATAGCCGAAATCTTCTTCGGCTAGACGGTCGAACTTTCTGCCTCTGAGCAGAGAGGAACCCGGACGAGGCTCCGACGAAGGACAGAGTCTCGTTCGGGGAGGTTCACCAAACCGATCCCGTTTATACGGGTTCTACGGGCATTTTTGGCCGAGCCTACGGATTCAGAAAATCCACGTTAAACCCGGCCTTGTGCCATATGCAACCCTCGTGGGAGGGTGTCTAAATATCGTCCAGCTGAAATCTTTTCGACTAGATGGTCGAACTCTCTACCTCTGAGCAGAGAGGAACCCGGACAAGGCTCAGCCGAAGGGCAAAGTCTCGTTCGGGGAGGTTGCCCAACCCGATCCCATTTATGCTGGTTCTACGGGCATTTTTTGGCCGATCGGAAGGCCCACGTAAAACTTGGCCTTGTGCCACATCTACCCTTGTGGTAGGGCTAGTAGATATTATCCAGCCGAAATCTTTTCGGTAGTGCGGTTGAACTCTCTGGCTTCGGGCAGAGAGAAACCCGAACGAGGCTCAGCCGAATGGCAGAGTCACGTTCGGGGAGGTAAATTGACCCTGAAGTTGTTTATACGTGTTTGAAGGGAATATTTTTGCCTACGGGCTCGGAAAACCCACATTAACTCCAGCCCTGTGCCACATGTAACCCTCGTGGGGAGTGACTAAATATTCCAGCCGAAACCGTTTCGTCTGGCAGGTCAAACTCTCTACCTTTGAACAGAGAGGAACCCGGACGAGGCTCAGCCGAAGGGCAGAGTCTCGTTCGGAGAAGTTGACCAACCCGATCCCGTTTATGCGGGTTCTACGGGCATCTTTGGCCGACCATACGGGCTCGGAGAACCCACGTCAAACCCGGCCTTGTGCCACATGCAACCCCCGTGGGAGGGGGCACAATATCCAAGCTGAAACTTTTTCGGCTATACAGTCGAACTCTCTGGCTTCAGGCAGAGAGGAACCCAGACGAGGCTCCGCCGAAGGGCAGTCACTCGTTCGGGGAGGTAGACTGACCCTGAACCCGTTTATACGTGTCCGAAGGGAATATTTTTGGCCGAGCCTACGTGCTCGGAGAACTCACGTTAAACCCGGCCTTGTGCCACAGGCAACCCTAGTGGTTCGGTGGCTAAATATACAAGTTGAATTCTTTTTCGGCTGCACTGTCAAACTCTGCCTTCGGGCAGAGAGGAAACCAGACGAGACTCTGCCGGAGGGCAGAATCTCGTCTGAGGTGGTAGATCAACATGACCCCGTTTTATACGGGGTCTACGGGAATTTTTGACCGAGCCTAGGGGCTCGGTTACCCCACGTTAAATTCGGCCTTGTGCCACATCCAACCGCGTGAGGCGGTTGGCAAATATTCTAGCTAAAATCTTTTTCGACTGTACTGTCAAATTCTCTGCCTTCGGGCAGAGAGGAACCCAGACGAGCCTATGCCGAAGGGCAGAATCTCGTCTGGGGTGGTAGTCAGCTACCCGACTCCGTTTTTCACGAGGTTTTCCTGAGAATTTTTGCCCGAGCAAACGGGATCGGATACCCGACGTTAAATTCGGCCTTGTGCCACATGTGATTGCGTGGAGCACTTGCTAAATACACTAGCTGCGATCTGTTACTCAGCTCTTAGCTGTTGTCGAACTCTCTGCCTTCGGGCAGAGAGGAATCCGGACGAGTCTTTGCTGATGGGCAAAGTCTCGTTCGGGTAGTTAGAGTGACCCCATCCCGTTTATGTGGGTTATACGGGGATTTTTTGGTCGAGGCTACAGGCTTGGAAGACGCAAGTTAAACTCAGCATTGTGCCACATCTACCCTCGTTTGTAAAAGTTGACTAGCTGCGATCTGTTACTCAACTCTTAGCTGTTGTCGAACTCTCTGCCTTCGGGCAGAAAGTAACCCGGTCGAGGCTATGCCGAAGGACAGAGTCTCGTCCGGGGAGGTAGACAGACCCGAACCCGTTTATGCGGGGTTACAGGGAATTTTTGGCCGAGCCTAAGGTCTCGGATTGCTCCACATTAAATTCGGCCCTGTGCCACATCCTACCTCGTGGGGAGGCTGGTAAATATTTCTAGCTGGAATCTGTTGAGTACAACTCATACTTACGCGAGGACTACCAAGTTTCCAATTGTAGCACTCATTACTGGATTGACTTGTGACGACCTAGTGTATAACTGTTACCTTTATTCTTAATGTATTGCTTTTTACAATAAACCTTTATTTAATTTATCCACCTTGTTTTTTCAAGTATATTAGCACGGAATATAATAATTTCTAATGTACATAACGTGGAAAAAGGGCTTGGAAAATTTGACACACACAGTATTATACTGAAAGCAAATAGATCATGACCTATATAAAGAACTTGTTTAAATCGTTGATAGAACAGGGAATAGAAAAGATAGCATAAATCCAAACTTTACTAAAACTTATAACGGACAGTAAATTGTGGAGTCAGGATCGTCCACGCCATGAAACGTCTAGGAGTGTCAAATTTTCCAAGCCCTCTTTCCTCATTTTTCTGATTCTAAGTGTCCTTTTTTTCTGAAGACCGTCTCGTTTCTCACATACTTCGCTCGTGGCATTCTCAGCATCCTACTGTAGAATTACATTTCTGTTGCCTCTTTTCTTCATCTGATAACCGATATGGATTTTTAATGTGTTTTCTTAATATATATATATATATACGTAAGCTTAAAGGTCAGAGTTGAATCAGATCAGAGAACAGTCGTATTAAAAAGTGCTCAATACACCTGAAAAAATATGTGAAAATAAAAGTAATAATAATAGTAGAGATTTTAATTTATAAAATCAGTGGGTAAATTAAAATACCCGACCGCAGTTTCGATCTGGTGGTCTCGTCAGGCGATAATTTCAAAATGACTACTTTAATACTTTATTTAAAAAACACAAAGAACATTATTATCTTTAAAAAACACACTGTCATTCATTCAAACACCGCTTCTCGTACGATCACCGAAGTTAAGCAGCGTCGAGCCTGGCCAGTACCTAGATGGGTAACCGCTTGGGAATACCAGGTGCTGTAAGCTTGGATTTGCGGATGATGTAACGGATAATATATTCGGAATTGTTAATCGGAGAGTTCCATTTCCAGTTGGGTCTGTTATATTCCCTTACGCGCAAATAAGGACACATGGCACAGTGAATAAAGGCGTTGATTAGATCTAGTGACACGACCCAAAGAGTCGTGAGTTCAATACCTGGTTAAGGCAGTGGAGAACTTGGAGAGGGTATTAACAGGAAATAACTGATAACTGACATCCATTCGACATGGCACGTGGAACTAGAAGAGTTTACCCCAGCGTGCGAAATAAAAGGTTCAGTTCGACATTCCAACCAACTGAAGAAGGCCGGAGCGTACATCGGTCGAAACGTTGTGATAAATATGGCAACAAAGATGAGGACAATATTCCGAATAATTTAAATAGTATATATATATATATATATATATATATAAATGAACATTGAAGTCAACACTCAGAGGCGATAGACGCAATTTGCGTCTACGATGAAACAGCCTGTCACCTCTGAGTGTTGACTTCAATGTTCACTTTTATTAATATTAAAAAGTGCTCAATACACCTGATAAAATTGTTAGTATTATTATTAGTATTATTAGTATTAAAATGTGCTCAATACATCTGAGAAAAAGTATGTGAAAATAAAAGTAATAATATCATGTAGAGCTTTTTAAGTTTAAAAATCAGTGGATAAATTAAAATACGCGACCGCAGTTTCGATCTGATGGTCTCGTCAGGCGATAATTTCAAAATGACAACTTTAACACTTTATTTAAAAAAACAAAACACAAAGAACACTACACAATTATCTTTAAACACACACACACACACACACACACACACACACACACACACACACACACACACACACACAAATAAAGCGTTAACGTGGTCATACTGAAATTATCGCCCGACGAGACCGCCAGGTCGAAACCACGGTCGCGATTTAAATTGACCTCCGTATTTTTAATATATATATATATATATATATATATTATGTTGGATTGATTGTTCCAAGGATAAAGAAAAAGGTTAAGAATTTTGTTGAAACAAAATGGCTATTTTTGTAGTGATTTTATAGCATATTTATGTTATAATTTTCGAATAAATAATCATATATATATATATATATATATATATATATGCTCTATCCCTGAATCCGAGCACTATTGCCCATAAATATAACATAATTTAGAAGTATATTTTGATCACACACACACACACACACACACACGCACACACACACACACACATATATATATATATATGATTGTTCCAAGGATAGAGAAGAAGGTTAAGAATTTTGTTATGGCTTTTATCTATTGTGGAGAGCGATGTCTATTCTTGAAATAATGAGACACCAGTTTTGTGGCTTTTAGGTAGACCGTAGGGTGATGTTCTCTTAGTCAATGCAATGATTTTTTCTCTTTATTTTTAAATGTTTCCCAATCGCTTTGTTAAATGTTTGTGTTTCAGTCATTATTTTCTGTTGGTTTATTTTCATATATATGTCATTATCGTTTGATAGAGAATTAATTTTTTCATCGTATGTGTTCTTCCTTATGACAATCCCACCTCCCTTGTACGCAGAAATAATGTAGATTTCCTTGTTTTTTTATCTGACTCTGTGCTACTGTAAGTTTGGAACTGCAGGTGCTCTAAGATTGGGTGTGCGGGTGGTGTACTCAATAATACAACGGAATTGGTAATCGGAGAACTGATTTCGAATTCCAGTTGGTTTCGTTATATTCACTTACGCACAAATACCCTTGGGAAAGGTACCTCTTCTCTGCACTGTTTTATTGTTGATCCGATTCTGCTACGTCGCAGGTTTTATTATGCGGCCCATTAGGCTGATTATCCGATAGAGTGAGCATTAGATTTCATGTGGCTTTTTAGGCAGTGCTATGAAAATGTATCTATTTAGATCTTCCTGTATTTCACCGCTGTTGTTTACATCATTTATTATTTCTGTAATTTTGTCCATGGCTAACTTACTAGCATCTCTATTAAATTTCCATCTGGTCCTGCTGCTTTATTTCTGTCCAATTTGGTCAATTCTGATTTCAATTCAGTCTTTATTAATTCTGGTTCTTTTCAAGAATACATTTCATTATTTACAAAATTTATATGTAAAAAAAATACATACTTTTACACTGAAAGTATAAATTTATGTACTAAATATCTGCAGTTGTAAGCATAAAATGCTGTACAAAATATTTAGATGTCGGCATTAAATAGTCCATGGAGGTGTTAATACCTCGCTAAAAAAAAACAAAAAAAAACACAGCCAACTATTACGATACAGGAAAACTGATAATTCCATGACAGTTTAGTAATCTTTTCTTTCTTACTTCTAACAAAATTTTCCTGTTTCTTAGCACTTTAGTTTTATTTGTTACTTCTTTTTACAAAAAAAATAAATAAATAAATAAAAAACTATGAACAGCGAGCCACTCGTATTTGAGGATACGCGTCTACTTTAGCGGTTAGCCAATCCTTATTGCAAACGCTTGCTCAGGTGAATTTTCGTTTATCCAACACTTACAGAGCTCAGCTGGGGTTTATACTGCAACAATGCTGAGCAGACCTTAGTTACAGTTTCTGGGAAAGAGCGTGTTAACTAACGTGATCAACAATTTGAATTATGGCCAGCACGCTCAAGCCCTCGGCAACGATGACTTGTGACTACGTGCTATCGACAATGGGTTCCGTCTACCCAAACTTACTCACAATACTTGGGTCAACGCGTGGTATGGTTTTCAAGAACTTTCGAAAGGTGGGATAGACCCTTCTAGTCTGATAACATCAAGATTCTCATTCCTGACAAATTGACCATGGTGAGATTCGAACCCAGGACTCATGGTCAGAATGCCGCACGCTGGGATCAATTTGATCCAGTTGGATAAAATCAGGAAATCTCATTCCTTACTAATCGACCATGGTGAGATTCGAACCCTGGTTGCATGGTTAGAATGCCGCACGCTGGGAACAATCTTATCCAGTTGGATAAAATCAGCAAGTCTCCTTCCTGACAAATCGGCCACGGTGAGATTCGAACCTGAGTCTCATGGTCAGAATACGAACGTTGTAACCACTCGGACACATGCCCGTGAAACAAAACAAAGCACAAAGAAAAAAAATGTACAGCTGAATTGAACAGACGTATTATATAAGAAATTTTAATCTAACAAACGCAATGTCACTGGGATACAATTTTACAAACGACGACTGACAATGCACTGACATTTGAACCGGAACACGCCGTTGTAAAGAAATGATTAGATATCATCATATCGAAGTTTTTATACGCACGTCGGTTTCTGTTTGCAAGAAAGTACATCGTTAAACGTTAGAGATATTGATATAACCGTTTGTATATCAGACGGGCCGCTGTAAACCCGACGGGCTGGCGTTACACAATTTAGACTATGCACCAGATTTTAATGTAGATATCTGTAACGAGAGACACATAATGTGGCTGATTAGTTACGACGTTTGATTTCTGGTCATGAGGCCCAGCTTTGAATGGCTGATTTTTCGTCAGGAAGGGTTTTTGAGGCTAAAAACCCGGATGAAACCGTGGGAAAATGGTGTGCAAGGCATACCCACGGGTTGAGCCAAGCCTACTGAATGAAATTGAGTGGACGAAATTGTTAGTGTGGGGTTGTGCTGTCAAGAAGTCATCATAATCCAGGGTTTGAACGTGCCGGCCTTGATCAAACTGTTGACTTCGCCATAGGATATTCTGTCTTCCAGAAACTGTAACAAATGCAGAAACACCACAATTGCAGCCGACTAACCTTCATAGTAAACTCAGAAACGATCAACCAACAATTATATATATATATATATATATATATATATATATATATATATATATATATATATATAGTAAAGGTGAAAAAATACTTTGGTATATAATCGAACTGGATCCTAGTAATATGAAATCTTAGACTGAGCCACAGAAAGAGATCAATATATTCTTTTAATACAGAACAGCATTATTAATAAACAATACTATCCAAAATTACCTCATATGGGGAATAGTCTATGTAATACCGTGAGAGAGAAGAAAGTGTTAGCATAGAACTTACGGTTACATTTAGCCATTTCAACTGTAAAATGATGAGATCTTGCCGTCAATTTATAAGGCAGTGGATGTGCGTGAGAGAAATGAAACTGATAGCATAGAACTTACGGTGACATGTAGCCATTTCAACTGTAAAATGATGAGACATTGCCACTAATATATAATGCCTTGGATGTAATACCGTGAGAGAGAATAAAGTGTTAGCATATAACTTACGGTTACATCTAGCCATTTCAACTGTAAGTTGAGACTTTGTTACTAATCTAGTACTGCACTTAAATTCATAAATTCTCGGTAACACAGAATTGTTTCATTAAGCCAAAATGGGGAATGGTGGGAAAAGGACGGTCTTCTTCTATCTTAGATACAACAATATTCCTTACATGAAAACAACGGATTCTTACATAACATTCTTACTTCATTCACCAATTCATTTTCAGGAGGGGGGGGATAAAATAACAATTTAAAAATCTAAACCCCAATGAATGTTTACAAATATGAACCACAGGGAAGAGTTCATCCGAACAATTACAATGAAAGTCACAGGGTAGCTACATTACCTTTCTTGCTACATCCAACATAATACCTCATTGTCTCTATGAAAATCTTAACTAGTCCTCTTACGTACAATTCATTGTCTGGCGGTGGGGGAGAGAGAGTGAAATAAAACAACAATTTAAAAACGAGTCCCAGTGAGTATATACAATTTAAGCGAACAGCTATTCCGAACAATTACCATGAAAGCATTTATAGTAATTGCAAAAGGGAAGTTTCACTATGGCTGTTGGAAAGTGACTGAGGACTCAAGATCAGGATCATAATAATCACAATATTCCTTACACCAAAACAACGCATTCTTACCTTTCGTACTACATTCACCATAATACCTCATTGTCTCTATGAAAACCTAACTAAAAAAGCTACATTACCTTTCTTACTACATCCAACATAATACCTCATGTCTCTATGTAAATCTTAACTAATCCCCATATGTATAATTCTTTTTCTAGGCGGGGTGGGGGGAATAAAACTACAATTTAAAGACGAGCCCCAGTGAGTATATACAATTTAAGCGAGACCTCATTCGAACAATTACCATGAAAGCATTTATAGTAATGGCACAGGGAAGTTTCATTATGGCGGTTGGAAAGTGACTGAAGACAAGACTCAAGATGAGGATCATAATAATCACAATATTTCTTACACCAACACAACGCCTCCTTACTTACCATTCTTACTTCATCCACCAAATACTTCAGAATCTCCATGGAGTCCTAACTATTCCCCATATATACAATTCATTGTCTGGGGTCGGGTGGGGTTGTGGAATAAAACAACAATTTAAAATCTAGCGCCAATGTTTATTTACAATATGTAAACAAAACTATCATATCGATGTTTATTCCGCTTATATACAGAAATGTGGCGCAAGGCTCGAATAGGGAATGGTGAAAAAGTACGGTCTTCATCTGTCTTAACTTTAAACTTAGCTAGCCAGAAACACTGATCCAAACATACCACAATATTCCTAACACCAAAACAATGCATTCTTAACATTCTTACTACAACCTCCATAATACCCCGTTGTCTCTATGAAAATCCTAACTAAAAAAGCTACATTACCTTTCTTACTACATCCAACATAATACCTCCTTGTCCCTATGAAAATCCTAACTAAAAAAGCTACATTACCTTTCTTACTACATCCAACATAATACCTCATTGTCTCTATGAAAATCCTAACTAAAAAAGCTACATTACCTTTCTTACTACATCCAACATAATACCTCATTGTCTCTATGAAAATCTTAACTAAAAAAGCTACATTACCTTTCTTACTACATCTAACATAATACCTCATTGTCTCTATGAAAATCTAACTAGTCCCCTTATGTACAATTCATTGTCTGTGGGGTGGGGAATAAAACAATTTAAAAACGAACCCCAATGAGTATATGCAGTTTAAGCGAAGAGATCATCTGAACAATTACCATGAAAATATTTATAGAAAAAGCACAGGGAAACAATTTTACGACGGTGACTGAAAAGCGAGATGCCAGGTCAGGACCAATAATATTGCTGATTCTACTTTGGATTTTATCAAGAATCTCTAAATATATAGCAGGAGCACCTGTCTATATGTGGCAGCAATCTTCAAGGCATGGACGAATTCTAGACTTATATGGCGAGAAAAATAAACTCTTTTCATTCTCTTTCAATCTCAGTAGCCCCTCGCATCTTAGTGGATTTATCACCTTACTTGATGTGAATTGATAAAAAAACAGATGTTTTGAAATCTGCCAAGTCTGGAAAAGGGGGATTGGGCACCACCAGTCCAGTTTGTATTTAACCGTTTCGTGCCAGAAAGTTTTTTCTAGCCCGAGTCTGTCTTTCATATCTATAAGTCAACCATTCGCCCTTGCATGGAATACTGCTGCCATATATGGTCTGGAACCCCCGATGATCGTCTTAAGGTCCTCGATAAGATCCAGAGACGGATATGCAATGTGACTGGCCCTGATCTGGCATCTCCTTTACAGTCGCTCTCTCACGGACGTGCCGTCGCTTCCCTCTGACTTTTCTAGAAATACCTTCACGGTAGTTGCTACGACGAGCTACTTTCGCTGGTTTCTGCATGAAGTTAAACGCATCTCGGTCCTACCTTTTCACTATAGAAACTGTCAAATGTAGCCCTCTCTTCTCCACCAGTAGTTTCACGTCTCGCACATTGTTATGCCATAATACCTATTCTATTGTAATGGGATCTCCCACAGATAATAAGTAGTAGTGGTAGTGGCCAGTTCGGCTCAGTGGCGTCTCGCGGTTTTTGACTGCGCGCGCCTTCTGTCGAACTCTTTGCGTTAGCAGAGAGGAACACGGACGAGGCTTTGCCGAAGGGCAAGGTTTCGTCCGGGGAGGTAGACAGGGCCCGAACCCGTCTAATCGGCTTCAAAGGCTATTTTTTTGGCCGAGCCTACGGGCTCGGGGATACCCACAATAAAACCGGCCTTGTGCCATATTCGTTTCCCGTGGGTGAAATGATAAATACTCAGTGGCGTCTCGCGGTCTCTGACTGCGCGCACCTTCTGTCGAACTCTCTGCGTTAGCAGAGAGGAACCCGGACGAGGCTTTGCCGAAAGGCGGGGATTCGTCCGGGGAGGTAGACAGGGCCTGAACCCGTCTTGGCGGGTTCAAAGGCTATATTTTTGGCCGAGGCTACGGGCTCGGGGATACCCACATTAAAACCGGCCTTGTGCCATATTCGGTCCTCGTGGGTGGAACGATAAATACTCAGGGGGGTTGAGCGAGTCAGTCGATATCGGACATTGACGTACCAACCATCACAACTAGATTGCTGCGTCATTAACTCTTATTTCCAAGTTCCTACCGTTTTGTACGTCGAACCTGATTTAGGACGACTTATTGAAATACAAGCCTCCACTGTGAAAACTACTCTACAACACACATCCAGTGTGTGGAACTCCCTTCTTCTTACTTGCTTCCCTGATAGCTCTAATCTCCAACTATGCAAATGCAATGTCAATCGACATCACCAGATGCCTTGATTTATTCCTCGTCCTTCTCTTCATTCTTTCCCCTATCATGACTCTTTACTTTTGCTTCCGCTCTCTGTAGCCCCTTACGTGCTAGTGGCACTCCCGCCTTGCTTGGGGTGAAATGCTTAAAGAAAAATGAAATAACCTGCACAAGGTTGATAAGCCATAGAAGATTAATCAATCAAATGATAATACATGCTATCTGTTGAGCAATATCTGAAATCTGATATCAATAGATTGGATGATAGTAATGACAAAGGAAACTAGAAGAGCTTTAAGATATCCTATTAATGGAAAGCAAGAAGAAAGGACTAACTATTAACTGAAAGAAGACGGATAGTTGTTTTATGAATTTGGTGAGAAGTTTCTCAAGTTCAGTAGCTGTTATTAATCTTTCTGGTAGTGATGGAAGTTTCCTTCCTAACCTTTTGCGTAAAGTAATGTGGAATGTCAACATCTTGATTACTGTATGTACTTGCGGATAGGTCCCCTAACCGGATATGCTTTCGTGTGGGGTTAGTGTGAGGAGCTGGAATGGATTAATGCTGTTGATTTGTATTTCATTTACTCACGAAGCGCACGATTCTGTTAACGAACGGAGCTCCAGAATTATGTCCGTATTTAGAGAAACACTACCCGATCTGTGATGAGCCTCAGAACACATAAAATATGAAGAATAAAGATCTGACTGCGCAGATTCGTTGATAAATTCTAACTTCCTTAATAAGAAAAAAAAAATATGGATCGATGTTGTAGGTCAGTCCACTTCGGGGTACACTGTTTGCAGATAATAACTTTCGTGCGCCATCAGCGAAACAATCAGTGTCTTAGCGGGATTTTTTGCTTACACAAGATGAGCAGCAACTGCAACGAAAGCGAGGCTGCGTTACAAATACATAAAATAAAGGTTTATAAAAATGAAAGATGGCGAAAAAAAAAAAAAAAAAAGCAAAAAAAAAAAAATAAATAAATAAAGAAAAACAGATCGTACAGGAGTCGACGAGCAAACAAAGTGGAGGCTTGCAGTAACAGCTTGTAGACCATAAATACACAAAAAACGAATGGAGACATCCGCGCACACACAGAGAGATTAACATACAGACATATGTATACATCAGATTATGCTACGACATACCTCATGTATATGCATATATATATATACATATGTATATATGCAAATACATATATACATACATATCATACAGACACGCATATATATATATATATATATATATATAATGTATATATGCATATATATATATATATATATATATATATATATATATATATATATATATATAATATATATATGCATATATATATATATATATATATATATATGCATATATACATTAATCTATGCCTTCTGAGTACACACACATACACATATATATATAGTATATATATATATGTGTGTGTATATATGATAAAATATACTTCTAAATTATGTTACATTTATGGGCAATAGTGCTCGGATTCAGGGATAGAGCACACACACATATATATATACATATATATATATATATATATATAACATAATAAACACACACGGACACACGCACACACACACATATGTATATATATTAATTTGTTTTGCTTCAACGTTAATTTAAAGTGACACTCATATTCGATTAAATGCTCTATTTATTTAATTAAGCAGTATTTTTATTTAATTATATTTACCGGTCTGAATATTCGACAAATCATTAGATCTGACTTGCTTAACCGAGTCGGCTACGTAGGACTTCCGGTTTGACAAAACAGGAAATAATGCTTTTGAACTCACATTCACTGCTGATTCTGGAACCATCCATGTGTGCTCTGTTTTGTATATATATACAATATATACCAAGTATATATAGAATATGTACCAAATATATATACAATCGAGGCGAATGCTCGCATTCTGCCGAAAGACACAATTCCTCTAATGAACAGAGCCACAGGCACAGTTTATACTGTTTAAAAGGTGGGGATGCCTGCCTAAACACGTGTCCACTATATACGGGATGCGATAGGTAATTATTAAAAACAGAACGTTTACTTAAATAAATAAATAAATAAATTGTATCTATAAAAATAACGTATAAAAAAGAAAATATTTTAAATAATTGTTTGAGTAAATCCATTTCATAATATATATATATATATATATATATATATATATTGTGAAATGGTTCAAGGTATATATATATATATATATATATATATATATATATATATATATATATATAATATCAAGTATGTGGTGCAGTTCAGTTTACATTACATGAATCATTCATACAAAAAAACAAATATAGAAGTTAATGATTTAAATGGCGAGAATACATCTTCACAAACAAATTTAATAAAGTATATTAACCCTGAAGGTCTTTTTTTAGTTTTTTACAAGCTTTCATCTATTCCTGCAGACATCATCAGGTATGGAAATAAATTTGTCTTTGATTTTTACATCCCGGTAATAACAGAACAACGAAAGAAAAGATGTAATCCGAAATATGTTTTTAGAAATGTGTTATTGTTAATTGTAAGAATTTGGGGGGGGGGGAATACAAAAAGACCTTATGCAACTGGAATTTATAAACAGGGGTCATAACATTCATCTACAGGTTCGGGGTTAATGTACTTTACTAAATTTGTTTGCGAAGATGTATTCTCACCATTTATATCATTAACTTCTATATCTGTTTTTTGTATGGATGATTCATGCAATATATATATATATATATATATATATAAACATGGGATAGCTAAATTGTCGCCATTTTATATTTTTAATATCGCGCATGCGCGTTCTTTGTTTTTGATTTTTCTACGCAGGTTAGTTGGGTGCCGTATGTGAGAAAAAGAACACCATGACGGAATTCCCTCCGCCAGAAATTTGCAAACGGCATGCTGTATTGCTTGGCATTTATACCGGAAGCTCCAATACGAATATTTCAGAGTGTTTGACACTGCAGAGGATTCGGAAATAGTTAGATGAGCCTAATGATTAACAAGCTATGGCTGCACGGGAAAAACACTCGGTTCGTTCTGTTATGAAAAGAAATCCGGAATTTGTTGGTGAGGTCCCAAGGCTCAACACGAAGGCCAACATCAAGTGCCTTGAGAGGATTGTACTGCTCTGGATCAAGAGGGCGGTTGCTGAAAGATTCTATATCTAGCAACAGGACTCTGCACCATGCCACACAAGCAGGAGAATCCATTCATGGCTGTCAGACAATTTCTGCCACCACATCATCCCTTACGTCTGGCCATCGAACTCCCCAGACTGCAGACCCCTTGATTATTATGTGTGGGGCGCAGTTGAGCGGTTGACCAACAAAACTCCTTGAAACATCAAAGATGAAGTGAAGATGAGGATTATGGTAGTAGTCACAAACTTAAACAAGGTGACCACCAAGAAGAGTTGCATGAGATTCCGAAGTCGTCTGGAGACCGTGGTTGAAGACAATGGTGATTTTATTGATTAAATTTACTTTTTAGTATTTCAATATATTTTTGTGTAATTTTGGTTAATATATCGGTTAAAATGAGATGTCAGTGTTATTTTTATTTTGGCTTCAATTGGATGGCAATTTATCCATCGCACCCTGTAGATCTGTTAAAATGAGATGTCAGGGTTATTTTCATTTTGGCCTCAATTGGACGGCAATTTATCCATCGCACGCTGTAGATCTGTTAAAATGAGATGTCAGTGTTATTTTTGATTTCGGGCTAAATTGGACGACAATTTATCCATCGCACCCTGTAGATCTGTTAAAATGAGATGCTAGTGTTATTTTCATTTTGGCCTCAATTAAACGGCAATTTATCCATCGCATCCTGTATAATGTTTTAAAAATGGATTTTTTAATTTAAACGTTATTTTTGGTGGATACGCATGTTTGAAATAGACGCCCTGTTGTTTCTGTTGCTGTTATGGTTTAACCCATGTGTATTACGCCTATCGGCTTGCGCACTCAAATAAATAAATAAACACCAATCAAGAAAAATATGCTGGGCACAAGACCGCACGCTCGTGCCTTCAAAACCTCTCCGAATCCTTGTGGGTGACGAATTATTCTTCACCCGTCAAACTCTCTCCCGCAGGTGGCACGTAGCAACCTTTCTCGCTGCACTGCCGCTACTTTCGCGGAAAGTGCTCGGACGAACTACGTTCTCTGGTCCGGCCAAGGCAAATTTTTTACGGCAAGAACACGCCATGCCACTTACATAGGGGCAAACCACCCACATTCCCACTGTATTCTATCGGTGAGAAGTAAGTTCCACTACAGCAGCTTTCTTCCCGCGTACCACTTCCCTGTGGAATCCCAACAGGATGTTTCCCCAATCTTTACCATCTTAACCTATTCATGGCTAAGATTAATCGTTATCTCACTCGACTATACACACTAACGTAACCCTCTACCTCGAGTGGCTCCCGGGCCATGTAAAGGGTGACTCTCGCTGTAAAAAAAAAAAAGAAAGAAAAGAAAATGCTCTATGTGCGCGAGCGATTTAAGACACGCCGGATGAAACTTTTTTTTTTTTTCTAAGGAGAGGGAGGCGCGTTCGAACCTCACCGAGGAACCCATTTCTTTACCAAGTTTTCTCAAATTTGCAGACCGATAAATATTATACAGTGTAACCCGGATATAAGAGAAACCCGGATATAAGAGAGATGTTCTCTGGTCCCAATAAGACCCTGTGTTAATGTATATAAAATAGACCAAACCCGGATATAAGAGAAACCCGGATATAAGAGAGATTTTCTCT